ACCATTGCATCCGCATATTCAACTTTGAACTTCATTATATCTGTGGCATGACCATCATGCATAATGCAGATAAAAGCATCGGCGTAATCTTCGAAGATCATGTTCACTATCTGCGCACTTGACCACCATAACTCGCGAATTTAATCTAACTATTGCAATGCGTCAATACGTCAGGAGCGATAAATGTAACGGTAGCCTTAGAATGTTCAACTTATTTCTGCCTAATAAATAGGTGTAACTAAAGTGTGTCCTCACATAAGTTCCAATTGGGTAAGCACTACCACTCAGTTAAGTGGGTAAATTTGGAAGACTGAACTAAATAGATGGGGGGAATTTTGGATCAGTGTGCTTCCCAGTTCAAAATGTGATTCACATCCATTAGCATAAACTGCGCAATTTCATGCCAAATGGTCAACGCCCATGTTAAATTTCTAATAATAAGGGTATCTGAAAGACAGTGATTCACCTTAAGTAAACACAGCTAAATTTATTTAATAGTGCTAGCTATTTCATCTCTGCTTTGTTAAAATTGTAGAAATTTTGGGTATTGCACAAGAGGAAAAAGTAGGAAAAAGTAAATTGAAGAAGTGAGAACAGCTCTGCTTAATTAAGAAACTGCCATAAAAGTTCTTAAAGCTGTGGAAAGTCGACAGCCCGGTGATTTATTTGGTATCAGAAGTTGGTACCTCCTGATTCACAAGCACTCTTAATGTGGCTTGAAAACTCCAATCACTCATATTTAATACTCAATCACTTTTGACCAATCCGTAGACCAGCAAAATTTAAATACCCACAAATTTCCGTCTATATTATATTATTGGTTGGCAGAATTTAGGCCTTTACCTATCTCTTATACGAAGCACTTACCCGTTTACCTCCATTTCGTATATATTTCCTTTACATTAGTAACCCTCTGAATTTGATTTCATGATTAGGTCAACGTGGCAAGTGAGTTGTCCTTTGCTTCTCTCTAGGCAAGCATTTAGCTGGGATTCGTTTTGTTAACCATCTAGAGCAGCCTTCTCCCTACCCAAATAAAGTACTTGGACCTGGCGTTCTTTAAAGGCGCTTGAAAACCTTGCATACACCCCTACCGGTACCTCAAGGTCGGAACTCAGCATGTAGCAAATAATTCCTTTCTGATGGAGTTCTTATCGGTACACGCGGACAGAAGATGATTTTATGACTGATTATGACAATGGAATATATTACAGGACCTTAAAAACCACTTCCAGCTGTTTTGCGCTCACTTCAACTTTCTAAATCAGGAGACGTGAGCGGGGAACGAAATCAAAAGCACCAAAAAAGTGTTTTTAGTATTCGAGTGAGTCAGTTGTAAGGACGTAATTAAGGGATAACGAGAATAGTTGGAGGAAAACAGGTTTATGGAAAGGCTCTTCGAGTGAAGTGCAACGAGAACGTTGTATTTCATGTTTACCAATGATCCGATGACAAACTTCACTGTTCAGTATTACTAAATGCTAAAAGTTAGTCTAAATATTTATACGATATAAGAACTATTTACTATGGTCTTAACTAACTGATAAGATGGTATCATAATAGTCAGCAAAATAAAAAAAACAAGTAGTTAGTTGAGTATGTTTTTTCCCTTTACCTAAAGAGGCAAAATAGGTAGCTTACTTGATTAGGCCTGCAGTTGTCGACGCACGTGTTCAATCTCCAAAAGCTTTCAAACTGTTTTAAAAAAAGATAGAGGCAATCTTGACTACATCTATGTCTTATTGATCAAGGTGAAATTTTCAATGATTTGAGTATGCGTCAAAATACTCAGAAATGGAATCCCACCGTAACCCCTCTATCTTAATACTGTTTGAACCAATTGCGATGAAAATCACTTCCTAATCGTAAATTTCTCAGTCAACTACATGAGCGAAAATATTATCAAATAATGAGACCCACTAAAGACAATCTACGATGTTGTTCGCATCTGCTATGCTCGCACAATACACAAATCAACGAAGCCGAGAAGCCATCAACTAAAATGACATGTTGACAGTGAATGTACCTTTTGTTTACTGACTATTCACACTCTGGCACAAATATAATCAGGCTAAATTTAACCCCTTTTTTGTTGCCTACTTGGTACGTAAACCCGGAGCATAAACACGTCAATTCGAAGCAATCGATCCTAACAAAGGTACATATATACGCAGATCGTCACTCCGCAACAAAAATACCAAATATAATTCTATTAAAGTTAAACATCAAGGACAATTCAACTACGCCTGCACATATTGAATTGAGAATTGAAAAACTCATCCTGATTTACAGCCACAATTTTGATTACTATGTACCACCCCCAAAAAGGATGAGTCATACCGATGGAATTCACGACCTAAAGACCACATTGATGAAAAAGGCAAGATCGGAACTAATCGATTATAAGATTGTAATACTCAATCTGGGCATAAAATTAATAATAAAAAAAACAAATATCACTGCATCCGTGTTTATATATATATGTGTGTATACATATATACATATATTCACAGGACAGCAGTAGAAAGTCAGCTTTTATGTATATACACAGAGGATTGGGCAGTTATACATTAAGATGTGAATCCGACAACCGTTCAGTTTGCAGCTCCGGAGGCACTCGAAATTCGGAGAACTTGCAGAGGAGCATTGTAATTGGAATGAAATTGATCATAAGCATAGAAAAGAAGACAATGGTGGGATGCGCCTGTAGACTACCTCCAACAAACGGACCGAGTAAAAAGGCGACATTGATGATAGTTCTCAGGATAGTTTGGGCTTTGTCTAGATGTGGTGCAGGGACAAACTTAGTGTAAAGAGACTCAGAAATTGCTAGGGGGAAAGGCATTCCGATGACATGAAGAGCTACACCGACAATAACAAGGACTTTTCCCGATTCTCCAAGGGAATCAAGAGTGTACGTTACAATTGTGAGGTAGAGATAGGAAGTTACGAGGAATATCAGACCAATACAGATCAGCTTTCGATCCTCAACACACTTTGACATGAAATGCATGATAAGGGAGACAACGATAACGAGAATACTACAGGCGATGTATATGTAGCTAACTTCAATAGGCCCCCAATCAAATGCGCGATTCGCTAAGGGAGAAAGTACTGATTCTAGGGCCATTACAGAGTAGTAGGATGCAAAGGTAATTGCATAAAGAGTCAGGAAGCTGAATTGTTTAAATCCACTAAAACGAACCTCACCCTTATTGCCTGGAACATCCACATTCTGTTTAGCAATTGCAGTTTGTGCATTTTTTGAAGCCTCATCAGCATAAGCCCCAGATTTATCCAAATTTGGGTAGAAGATCACGATTAGAATAGAATGAACAATCCAGAGACAAGCCATAACCAATCCGGGACCATTGTAAACATTTACTTTCATATCGAATATGCGTAAATCTAGCTTTTTCAAAATGAGAGTAAAAGCTGGACCGAAAATAAGACCAACTTGGCGTGAAAGTAGGAGAACGATGATGAAGGGGGTTCGTTCATTAATCTCCGTTGATCGGGTGAGATCAGCATACATTGGAGGCTCACAGCTGGCTCCAATGCCAGCCAGTAAGCGTCCCATAAACACAGCCCAAGGACTATAGGCCCATAGATACGCAAGGTTTCCCAAAATTTCAAGAAGATTAGCAAGAAGAAGAAGGAATTTAACACTAACACCATAGTGACCGGCATAGCCAAAGATAGGAGTGGCAATTAGAATGGACAGACTGAAAACTCCAAGAGTACTACCGTAGAAATCCGCTGCTGTTTCGGGACCCCAATAGGTTGTAAAGAAAAGCCACATCGTTGGAATGATAATAGCTCTCTCAATATTAGTCAGAAGTCCCCAAGTAGAAGCAATAAAGGCGATGGGATATTTGGCCTTTCTCTGGTGTGTTGAGGGCTTCTTGCAGCATCTGCTGGGATCTTGAGTCGCAGACCCTTCACGACGATGTCGATGTATAATAGTCTCATCAGAAGCATTCTGTGAATTTGTAGGTCCAGTAGCACGTGCCCTTATGTTATTATCTGACAAGATTTGGGATAGAGAATTGTCAAAAGCCTCAGGCAGAAGCGGAATAGTATCGGACATGCCTGCAGGTGGCAAAATCGAGTGCCAACTAAACAGTCACGCAATTCATTCTAGCCATCGATCGTTTACAAGTTTCCTGCATTTCATTGGCCAGTGATTAACCAATCACAGTGAAACGTACTAGTGCGGATGCACTCGACATAAATCTAATTGGTTTGTGGCAAAGTGTTGCTTATACATCGCGCGTTTCTAAAGCCTAGATCTTGTGATGCTAGCTCTATTTCGTAAATTTAACAAATATGTATGTTATAACCTGTTTATTATAGAAAAGAGAAGAATCATAGAATAATTAACGCCAGCCATATAGTTATGCTTGTTACGAGGTCTTCGTATTGATCAACTAGCATTTTAAATGGGAGAACAGAGCAATTTTATAAATGACCTATAGGAGTTATTTATCGATGTTGATAAATTTGTTTCGTCACGAACGTAAGATCACGAGTTCTTTTGCGTACTATTACGATGAAGAACATTCTTTTGCCTTATGGTTAGAGAACTTGAAAAATATTTTTAGTTATAGGACTAGAAAACATCTGTTTGTTTTTAGAAAGCGCACTTTCGAAACTTAGATTAATATTCAAAGCGTCATGCTGTATGAACCTATTTGGCCAAGATGTAATTGACCAGCAAATCATAAGTGAAGTAAGTTGGTTTTCGGCTACTTATTCAATACAAATTTTCAAACTGAGTAGACACTTAAAATGCATAAAATATACTTCGCTACTTAAATTAATGAAGTAACGTTTGCTCCACATTTGAAAGAGGAACAGCTTGAATGGATTTAGCTGAGATTGTTCACATTTAAGTTGAATGCATATGGGATTGGCTGGATTCCAACCAGAATTGGGATCAAGGCGCTTCCCCATAGCTACATTAGAGTTTTCTTGCTACTTCCAAAATTTATCCTCTAACTTCTCACATGTTAATAGCTATTATTTTGATCTCCCTTGACTATAGAATTTCCTTTAAATCCAATCAATTTTGTCACTGGCTACCACGTTTTCTTTTTCCTGATATGACTCCCAAAATTTTCCACACTACCCTCCAATTCTCCAGCTATTATAAGCACTAAGGAATAAACAAATGGTTTTTGAAATGAAGTAGCATAAAGAAAGAAAGAGAGGGGGGGAGAGAGAGAATGTCAGATGGTTGTGAAAACGGTAGCCTCGTGGGATTCCAGAAATAATAAGTGGTTGAAGGACCTGACCGCATTTGCTAGCCAATAGGTGCTAAAAATAATTCCAGGTTGGAACAATATTGGGGTCAAATTTATTTGAATTGTGTAGTCAGAAAACATTAGTGCTGTGATTTGACAATAGGTAGAGTTTCCTCAGGAGATCGAAACCCCTGAGGTAAAAATAATGTTGAGTGATAAGAGGCTCCAGTCATATGCAATTTACAGAAAAATTAAATGGAAACTAGTAGAAAATGCTAACCTATCTATTTATGTAAATATCGTTTGGTTAATTCGAAGTTGATAATATGATTGAAAGTTCTTGTACGTTGAAGGTATTGGCACTAGGCGATTCATTTAAAAATGAATAATAGGAGGTGCATGGATAAGCCCTCCTTTTCCAAGCAGGAAGTTAATTTAGGTCGGCAAAATGAAGTAATGCAATAACCACAGTCAAACAATTTAACTCTGTTAAATTCGAATTATTCTAACTGCCTGAATAATGAAGATAACCAATAAATTTTATAATTGGTTAGTGGAGTGCGCATTAGACTTACCTCCACGTGATGCGCCCTGGGCAACGCATACTTATACGGCAAAAAAGTCTATTGATCGGCAGTTGATTTCTGACTTCAAACTACTATGGCTCGACTATTTGCCATATTCAACTCCTACAGTACTCATCTTACCTTTTTATGCCTTTGTCTTTCTTTGTCTGTCTCTTTTAAATTTGTGAATCACTCTTCTGTTCCCCCTATCCACTTTTTGTCACTTTGATGTTCCTTCTCCTCTCTGTGAAGCCTCGAAGTCAGCTCCAGGGCTAACGATAACTATCAAAACGCCTGCAATTTGATATAAATAAATAATTGATTAGTTATCCCGTTATAGTAATCACGTATTCATAGGATGATTTATTTATTTATTTATATCAAATGGCAGGCATTTTGATAGTTCTCATTAGCCCTTTAGTTGACTTCAGGCTTCACAGAGGGGAAGGAACATCAAAGTGGAAAGAAGTCTGGGGGGGGGGAGAGACAAAAGAGTGATTCAAAAATGTAAAAGAGACAGACACAAAGGTAGAAAAAGGGCGAGGTGAGTACCGCGAAAGTAGTCGAATATGACATACACTGGAGTGATGGTGGTTTGGAGTCAGAAGTCAACTGCCGGTTAATAGACTTTTTTGCCGTATGAGTATACGTTGCCCAGGGTGCACCACGTGGAGGTAAGTCTATCACACACCCCTTCATAGGATGATTGGAGTCCAATAAACCAAAGTTCATACCTACAGTGGTTGTTTAGGCATATTCATTTCCAACAGGTTGTCTCTAAGTCGCATATATTCCTTATCGATTTTCTGGTACACACCACTCCAGATAGCTTAGGGACTAAAAATATTTCGACAGTTAGGGTTAACTGCTCTCTGTCTTAACCTACCCCATCGAGTCTGAGTCAATCATAGTCCATTGATATCTAGTGGAGATGTGTATTAGTGGAGCAGAAAACTAGCGGTGACATGGAGGAGACATGCTTCAAAAGAAGGCACTGTTTGCACAGTGAGCGGGCATGCTCCTAATGACAAATATTTCGAATTTTGTTTGAAAGTTTGCGTGGACTCATCGATCTGCTCTGATGATAACCTAATTGACGAACAAATTAGACAATAGTTACTCCTCTCACAGATTGTATTTTAATTTGTTTGTTTAAGACGGTCCTGCTTCGATTTGTCCAGTGCGGACTCATGTTCCTTTTCCCTTCTAGCTCCCAAAGTCTCATTTTGCTCGATTACTCTTAGTCTTTCTTTGTTCTTCACAGTAGCTCTTGACAATCGCATTTGTGAAAGACTTTTGTTCCCTAGTTTTGAAAAGGCTGTTGGCACTATTGGAGGATATTTTTAAGCCTAAATTAGTCGAACTTTTAAAGTATTTTATCTCATTTAGTACAACTTTCAAACTTTTAACTAGCTAATTGCTATGAAAGAGTGCAATAAAAAAATAGTACTCACTCCGTAGTGAGTAAAGATCTAGGATATAACTCTTCACGCGAAATTGAGAAATTGTCAATTCCAATTGATGCTTCGAATTACGTACAAGCCACGAAGGTAAGCAATGCTACATCTGAATTAAATGTTTTCAGTAAATAGCAAATTGCGCAATGGTTATTTGACAAATTTTCATCCAAGGCAATATGTCAGTTAACAATAATTTTATTTAAATGGGGATTTTCCATTGTAATTTGAAGTCAAAGGTGAAAACAATACAATGACTACTAAGCAAACGAATTATATTCACCATATTAAAAAAATATTAAAAATTTTTAATCTGAAATTAAGTAGGCCTGCCAGTCGGGAGCGTTTCTTGCCTACCTCGTTTAAAGGAAAGCAGCTATTAAAAATCCGAAGTACATACTGTTCGAGAAAGTTCATTGAAAGAGTAGTTTAGGTTTGTGAAAAGTTTCTCGATAGATTTACTATTTCGATCCTATGAAATAAGACAAACAGTAAAGATTAAACAAATTCACTAGGTTCTTGTTCTGCCAAAGTCTTTTTTGGTGAACAATAGAAGGATGGCTATATATAATTGAACGGGTGCGCGATAGACTTACCTCCATGTGGTGCACCCTGGGCAACGTATTCTCATACGGCAAAAAGCCTATTAACCGGCAGTTGACTTCTGACTTCAAACCAACATCACCCCACTGTATGTCATAGTCGACTACTTCTACAGTACTCACCTCACCTTTTTTCTACCTTGCTGTCTGTCTCTTTTACATCTGTGAATCGCTCTTCTATTCTAACTTCGTCTTTGAAACACTCTTCTGTCACTCCCCCTCTCGAATTTTTTCACTTTGATGTTTCTCCCCCTCTCTGTGAAGCCTGAAGTCAACTAACCATTAAAACGCCTGCCATTTGATATAAATAAATAAATAAATATATAGTTGAACAACCTGCCCTTTAATACGAACACTAGTAAACGAAATTTGAAAACTTTCTTAAGGTCATAGTAGGGTGATATGAAGGTGTGTGTGTGCGTGTGTGTGTGCTAACAGAGCTTTATGTAAACTGAAAATAGTTACTCCGAGTAGGAATTCGAGTTCTGCTACGTTTTCGGTTGAAAAAGAATAACCTCTGATTTATATGGCGAACATTGCGTCAAATTATCAATATTTGATCTCCTCAATTTGCAGAAATTGTGATGTATTTTACAATTACGTATCAGATCTGGGGGTATGGTGGGTGAATGAAATCATCATCCTCTTTATATCTCTAATTTTTAAAATGCCATTCATGGTAGAATCGCTACGTACTCTTCATGACTTCAAACCAGTTACTCAGGTATTTTGGTATTAATAGTCTGTGTGGGACATACAGGCTTACTTCCAGACGTAACTGTGACCAGTCACAAGAGCTCTATGCATCCCCCTCATTGTCAATAGAGAAAATAATATCGATAATAGGTATCCATGTGTATGTAAAATAGACGGAGTTAGTTCTAAATTTTCGAGTTGTTGTGAGAGGGCAGGGAGATTTGGTTAATAGGCTCTTATTTCAAAAATTGCACAATCCCATTCAGCCTAATGGGCCTCATTCGTTATCGATTTCGTATAATTGCTGAGCTTAGTCTCATGCATTATACTAAACTGAACAGCAATCTCTAAAGTTCTCAAAGATTGGCTATTAGGATTCTGAAATCTGGACGTTTAGAGCTTAAAGTAACAAAGAAAACGAGCCATTTGCAGCCATTACCGATTGCACAGTGGTAATACCAAAAGAATGACTTCAATTCCAGGAACTTTCACTTACAACTGACAACGCAACATTGCATTATTT